CTTCCAAACAAACATTTTCGTAGGAAATTTCTTCTTTTACTTATAAGTAAGTCATAGTGCATATATTCGATCATTGCGAGTCTTAATCATCTTTCGTGAAAACCTAGAGGTATGATATGATCTTCTCATTTTTTTTTTATTTGATTTTATTTGATTTGACAAATCAATTAATCTTTTGGAATTGCTTGCGATTGTTTGTGGGTTGTTGAGTGATTTGATTTTATAGTTTTTTTTTTATTATTATTAAAAAAAAATTCGATGATTGATTGTGGGTTTGATCAGTGTTTTTGATCGTTCGATGTCTAATTCTAGTTATGTGCGTTAGTCTGTAATCTCTCTCTCTCTCTCTCTCTTTCTCTCATGTGTTTGTGGTTTTTCAACTCTGTTTGTGTGTTTGTGTTTGAGAGAGATTTAATTTAATTTTGTGATATAGTGTTAATCAGGTGGGTAAATTACAGAGAACTTGGTGGATAGTGAGAATAGTGTTAATCAAGTGGGTAAATTACAGAGAAATTGGTGAAATTGGTGGATAGTGAGAATAGTGTTAATCAGGTGGGTAAATTACAGAGAAATTGGTGGATAGTGAGAATAGTGCTAATCAAGTGGGTAAATTAAGTGGGAAAGTGAGAATAGTGTTAATCAAGTGAGTAAATTTTGTGATATAATGTTAATCAGGTGGGTAAATTACAGAGAACTTGGTGGATAGTGAGAATAGTGTTAATCAAGTGGGTAAATTACAGAGAAATTGGTGAAATTGGTGGATAGTGAGAATAGTGTTAATCAGGTGGGTAAATTACAGAGAAATTGGTGGATAGTGAGAATAGTGCTAATCAAGTGGGTAAATTAAGTGGGAAAGTGAGAATAGTGTTAATCAAGTGAGTAAATTTTGTGATATAATGTTAATCAAGTGGGTAAATTACAGAGAAATTTTGTGATATAGTGATAATAGAGTGTGTAATTGAATCTTTATTTTTTGAAACTCTTTTTCACTCTGTAGATAAGACGAAAATGAAAATGAAATAATGATTCTACATACATCACAAATTTTTGTTTTTGTTTTTGTTTTTATTTTAAACAGTGCTTCCATAAATTTTTCTGCAAAACTTCGAAATTACTTTTATTTATTTTGAAATTTAATTTGAAATTTTAAAAATGAATAATGTTCACCGTTTTCTTTAAACCCAGAACCTAATTTTTTTTTTTTTTTATATTCTCTCTTTCTCTCTTTTGGTTCACAAAATTTGAGAACTCAACTCCTTGTGCTGAAGAGTTGTAGGATCTTATGAATTTTATTTAGCTCAGGTGTAGGATAATGCAAACCCAATCAGGGCTTAGTTGGAGAGTTCTTTGCTTTCACTAATACTTCTCTTTTAAAACCTTCTAAAAATATTCAAAACAACATAATGATTAGATTCTAGTAAAAAATTGATTTAACACAAGACAAATCCTATTTGATGAAGTTCATGATAGAAACAACTGGTGTGGTCTTAGAAACTCGGACACTTTTTCAAGAAGGTGACAAGTCTGTGTCGAACATGCATCCAAGTCTTTATTATTAGGGCAAATTACATATACCTCCTTCGAGGTATAGCTAAATTATAGATACTCCTGAGGTTTCGGAAATTACATCCCGCCCCCTGAGGTTTGTATTTTCATAACAATTTGCCCCCTGAGGTTTATATTTCATAACAAATTACCCCCTAATTTCTTATGCAAATATAGCATTCAGGGAGAATTCGTAATTTCTCAAACCTCAGGGGGTATCTATAATTTAGCCAAACCTCAAGGAGGGTATATGTAATTTGCCCTTATTATTATTATTATTATTATTATTATTATTATTATTATTATTATTATTTTATTTTTTTATTTTTTTTTAAAATGTTTTCAGAAACCTAACATACTGACTTAGACAAACACAAAACATGTAACTTGTAAGTTTGAAGAAAATAACTTTGGAATTTAACAATAAAACAAAATTAATGTAGATTTATATCTATTAACATTATCTCATCCATTAGATCTTTTAATTTTATGAGCCCTAAAGCCCAAGTCTTACGATTTGTTTATAAATACAATTTTTAAAGTAGATATTATGATTTTAGTTCACACTTCTTTTCTAAGACATAGGGTGTGGTAAATGATTTCTTAGTATTGTCATATAATAATATGTAAATCTATTGGCAATGCAGAAAATGAGAAATAGGTAATAGTTTATTGTATAAATATAAAATATATCCATATTTGTTTTTGTGTCCTTTTTATGCCATGTCAATATAAAAAATTTAAAAAAATATTGTTGTGTCGACATGTCCGTATCATGCCATGTTTGTGGCTTGTGTTCGGTTCAGTGCTTCTTAAGGTGTGATGGTACATGAGGATTGTGCAATATGAAGGCAGTAGTGGTACTCTTTAGTGGCAAAATAAACATGGAGATGTCGTAATTTGTTTTTTGTTGTATGGTTCGTCATTTTTTTGCTTTGTGATCTATGTTTTCTTCTAATTTGATATTTCTAAAATTAGCTCAAGATTTTTTATTTTTTATTTTGGTGAAACCTGTTTGTTTTGTAATGAAAACCTGGAAAATTGTTTTTAAAATTCTAGCATAATTTTTTCTTCAATTACATAAATGCATTTTTAAATATGTAGATTGATTGCTAAATAATATATATATATAGATATATATATTTTTTTTTTCTTTTCATCACAGCAGTGAGATGGGCATTTGAGAAAAAAAATTGAAAAAATAGGATGGCATTCTTTTTTAAAACCAATTTTCATCCTTATTATGAAACTGTTCCAATTGACTGCAATAAAGAGCTAAAGTTATTTTATAAACATGCAGGGACTGAGGTAACATCTGAAGGGTGAATTGAGACATGGAGGAAAAAACGGTGCTTGATTTAGATCTCAATAATCTGCCTTCACCTGTTGACAATGTGCGACCTATTGATCTTAGTCTTACATTAGTACTACCTTGGGACACTAGACTGTCACAAATACAAATGACAACCGAGCTTGAGTCTGTTGATGATAAAGTTGTCATATGCTCACCAAGAAGCTTTGCTGAGGTATGGAATCTTACATTATTATTAAGATTTTGTTAATGTGTGCCGTTAGGGTACATGTTAAGAGTCTTAAAAAGATTGTTCATTCTGCATGAAAGTGAATGCAATGAAGAATGTACAATCTCTGTGATCCCTATTATTACGCTAGTTGCTTTTCTTATCAATTTACCTAGTTTTTAAGTTTACTGGTTTGCCTTTTTCATCTCATCTTAGGCTAAGGCTAGAAGGAAACGTAGGGTGATAGAGGTGATTGATGCTGAAAGTGATTTTCAAAGAGGCTATTCAGGATCTTGGCAATTATGTTTCCCTCTCTTTTTATGGTTATGGAATTTTGAAGCTTAAAATTATAAAGAACATTGTTATTTAGGATAGTACTTAAGATTCCATACCTTAGCAAAGCTTCTTGGGAAGCATATGACAACTTTATCATCAATAGACTCAAGCTTGGTTGTCATTTGTATTTGTGACAGTCCAGTGTCCTAAGGTAGTGCTAAGGTAAGACTGAGATCAATAGGTCGCACATTGTCAACAGGTGAAGATAGATTATTGAGATCTAAGTCAAGCACCATTTTAGGTGTTACCTCAGTCCTTGCATATTTATAAAATAACTTTAGTTGTTTATTGCAATCAGTTGGAACAGTTTCATAATAAGGATGGAAATTGGTTTTAAAAAAGTATGTCATCCTATTTTTTTCAAATCTCTTATACAATAATAAAATTATCTAAATTATTAATTGAAACATATTTCTAACATCATTAAAAACTATTAATTGACTTGATAATTTATTAACAAAAAAGACGATTTGTTATGAAATTAGAAACCTCAAGATGGAATGTAATTTCTAAAACCACAAAGAGATAATTCATATTTTAATTAAATCTCAAAGAGTGTATTTATAATTTACCTAAAAAATATTTAGCATATATTTTATTTATATTTTCTTTTTTCATTTTTAAATTTTTACCTAAATTCGTAATCCAACACAACCTTATGGAATTGCCATTTGGATGTAAAGTGATACTATGGGGTGTTTTGGCAACACATCAAAAAAAATCAAAAGTCGACTTTTAACTCATTTTGACTTGTATCACTTCGCACATGAAACAATAAAAAAACTTTTAACCATCTTTTCAAAACACCCCATGTAACAGTATCACATCCAGGTGATGTTTGGTAAACATTTTGGAATAAAAAAGCACAAAAAGACAAAAAAAAATCAAAAAATCACAAAAGGACAATAAGCAAAAAGACAAAAAAAAATACATCATTCCAAAGCCAAAAAGCCAAAAAAACCAAACAAGAATACCAAACGACTAAAAAAATCCCAAGCTAAAAAAATCATAAAAACCAAAAAGTCAACAAAAAAAGTCATTGCCAAACGAGCACCCAATGAGCCATCTCAATTTTTGGCAGAGACTACAATATTATTCACCATGCTTGGTTTGAGTTTTCAAAAAACTCTTTTCAGAAAATTCTACTTTCTTATTTTTCGTATTTTTTTGTTTTTGCTAAATTTTTTTAATATTTTAAACAATTTTTTTACTTTTTAGACACACTTAAAATAAATACACCTAAAAAGTAAAAAAATATTTTTTATATTTTTATGTATTTATTAATTTTTTAAAATATTTTTTCACAAATTTTTTACTTTTTAGATACATGTAACTAAGACGCATCTAAAAAAGTAAAAAAAAATGTTTAAAATTTAAAAAATATTCATTAAAAACAAAAGAATACGAAAACCAAAAAATTCAATTTTCAAAAAACTTAATTTAGAAAACTCAAACCAAACACACTGATTGGGTTTAGTGAGAGACCATACTTTTCATCTAATCCAATTTCTGATTTTTTATTGGCAGTGACACCATTTAAGATATTATCACCATTACAAACAATGGAAAGTACTAAAAGCAAAGAAAAGAAAAAGAACATATGAGCATTTTATGATGACATGCCTGCTAAAAGAAATTGGACAATAACCACTGAGAACTTGGGGAATTGAAAACATCATTTATACATATTTACCTACATTTTCCTTTTTACTATAATAGAGAATACCTGTATACAATCTATCTATATACTACTGAAGTCGAGAAAGACAATTTTTCACCATCTGTGCAAATTCAAAACACCTCGTATAGCCAATATCGGCAGATCTTGAAGGCGGCAAAAATGGGTACTCAGCTTTTCCAAGCCACAAACAACCACACGCTACTTTCTGATTTCACATTATGTTAGCTCGTAAGGTAAGCGGTCAAATTGACATATCAGCTTTTTTATACTTCATTTGTCAGGCCTGAAGGCTTATTACACCTCAGTTGTAGTATATGTGTTCTCATGCTGCAATCCTTCACCTGCTTTTATAACACTCGTCAGTTCTCGACAATAAAAAAACAAAATAAAAATAAATAAATAAATAACACTTCAATTTCAATACTTACCTGCATGGCTGTTAGTGTGGACAATAGATCTTTGCACTGATCAAGTAAAGCACGTTCCTTTGCAGTTGTGTTTGCAAGTTCAGACAACAATGGGTTCACTTGGTCTACCTGTCAAAGAAAAATGGTTCAGAAACATAGACCATGAGATGAACTTCAATTTAAGCAAGCATCAAAGCCACTTATAAGCTATCCTTAACTCATTGGCATCATCAATTTAAACGAAAAAATATGATGAAGCCAAAAGGCATCCAGGAAAAGAGATTTACAGAAAAACCTGAAAATGGCAACAGAATTTTCTTTCCTTCCATCTTCTTGTCAACTTTTGGCACAATTGATATGTGACAATATACACCAAAAAGATAAGAAAAACAAAAAAGAGGAGTGTCCTAAAAACATAATAATCACAAACACTGAGTTTGACACCAGCTAGAAATATATGGGAAAGGAAAGAGCTGCTCCTCTCTATCTTCTCTGTTTTTTTTTGGTTTATCTAACTCGCTTACCTAAAAAAAACGAAAGAGCTCCTCCCAATTTTTCAAAATTGAACTGATTTTTTTGCACTTGAAAGGTTGGTAACAAGAAGAAAGTAACACAATCCATTCCTAGGGATGCGCATCTTCCATTCCTCCTCTTTCCCCTTTCTTCCTATTCTCCAATCATACCAAACATAATCTGCATAAACTCAAAACTTCCTTTTTCTTTCCTAATATAATAGAACCAAAAAGTTTACCAATTGCACATCCAAAAAATTGAATTACAATACCTATCCATAAAAAACTCAAAATAAATAAATTTGCAAAGATTGAAACGCCCACCACACCAAATTTAAAAATAAAATAAAAGAAAAGAAAAAAGAAGAAAGAAAGATCTTTCACACTATATAGACCTAATATCTAGTGCTTAACAATTTTCAAGCACCATTTTCTTTATGCTATGTCTGGTTTTTGAATTTGGTTGGTTGGGTTAAAAAATAAGAACATGAATAGAATGAATAGACATAAGCAATTTCATTTTTCTTTCCCTTCACAGATCCTAGATCCAAACATACATAGCATTAAAGAATTAAAATAAGAAAAACCCCAAAAATTAAAGAGAATTGAGTTGGATCTATGATTTAGACAGTTGGATGCACACTAAAATAGAAAGGTGGACCTGAAACCAAGGCCTGAGCAGTAGTGAATAAATATCAATATGAAGTTTTATAATTACCCTAAAACCACTTTCTAAAAGTAAAAGAGAGTTACAACTCTGTATAAACTAGCTAAGGAGAAAATTTCATGGTGAACTATTTAGAAATAAAGAAAGCCAATATAGGTGACAACCAGCCACATAAAAAGGAGATAACCTTGAGGCTAAGAAAATATATTCCAATAATACTGCTAAACAAGCAATTTTGTAAATATATGCTAGATTAAGTGTGTAAAAATACTAAAATCATGTAACCAACTTCTAGAAAGTCTGCCGCTCTTTATTCTACTTTCATTCCTTTCTCAGAAGCATAATAAAAAACCCTTCCCCAACCAAAATGGGATAGGCTCCCCCCTCCATTCCTCATCTCTCCTTACTTCTCTTATAGGGCTCAATTCTAAACCCGCACCGATAATCCAAATCATCTACTTTGTAGACATCACAATAAAGGTTATTCATGCAAAAAATTAACTTCATCAGATAACTATAATAAACATATGAATAAATAACATTTTATTTTAAAAAATAAATGGTTTAAGTTACAATCACATTTGTCATTTATTTTATAAAACAAAATGTGATTTTTTTCTTATGTTTATAAATGTCCGATGAAACTCATTTGTTGTATGGATGACTTTTATTGCAAAACCTACGAGACAGCCGGTTCAAATCATCAGCATGGATTTGGAATTAAACCCCATAATAGGAGTATGGAGAGATAAGGTATGGAGGGGAACCCATCCCAACCAAAATAGGCTCAGATAACATTGGCATGGTTTTCACTTTATGCTGATTTTTTAATAACATACCCATAGTATTCATAATTTTGCTTTCATGTCCAGGAAGGCACATTTTACCATATTTACAAAAGGTGTTTATACTTGTACTTAAAAATTATGATGTGCTTACAAAAGGTGTTTATACTTGTACTTAAAAATTATGATGTGCTTACACAAGTGGCAACACAAAGGAATGGAAAAACCATAGAAGAAGAGGAACTTCAATCTTCCATAATTTTCCATTACATAAAGAGCCAGTTTCTGTTGAACCATTTTCTCTTCAGAACACCATTTAACTTATTGACAATATGCAGAAAAAAATAATAATAATGCATGTGAGACAATAATGGTTGATATATGGAAGTCAGTTAGCATGTTCAAATCTTAAACAAAAACTAAACCCCGGCCTTGAAATCCTGCAAAATAATCATGATACTAGATCTGTGGGACTAGATCTGTGGGACTATAATACACAATAATCAAACCTCGAATGCAAAGACAATGCAAAAGAATTACAGACTACATTTACATGTCAGTATACAAATGACTTACAGAAGGGCTAATTGAAATCCCAGCATTCTGAATATTAAGTCCACTCTAAACTTGATTATATAACACAGTGACCAAAATTTTAACATTAAGGCAACAATAGAACTCATCCGATATTATACTTCACACCCTTCAAACAAAGAAAAGTTCAAGTGGCTGTATTATGGTTCTTACTCCTTACTCATCATTGGACCTTTACTGTGTATGATTCCCAATGAATCAAAGTAATATTTGACCTAACTACTATATAGCCAGACATCCTGAGCACAATCTTCTTAATCCAGCAGGTCACAATAACCGCACAATATATTGTTCTGGAAATGTGTGATGATAATACATTGCTAAATGCCATGAACTATATATACTTACAAGAACTATGCTATAAACTAAAATAAGGGAACCTATTACCATATGTCCTAAAACTGTTCTGCTTAAGGTCTACTTATTATACTTTATCCAAACACTTCAGCAAATCAAACTAAAAAATATAAATAAATAGAACCAGTTTAATATTATAAACCAAATTCAACGTTTACTGCCACTGCAAAAACCAAGAAGGATAATTCAAATGATCAACAAGATTACCTTTGTCAACAAAGAGCATATAGAGGATGCCATAGACTGCATCACATCAACTGCTGAACAAATAGCATCTTTGACATTTTGAGTATCTGCCTGTGACAAAATAAAAATAAAAATAAAATTTTTAAAAAAACCAAAACAGAAAATGGTTTCTGAAAGTCACATAAATGCTATATTGGCTATGCATTAAGTGATGATGGGATGCCAATGCTCATTCAAGACAGAAGGCAGGAGCGCAAACCCTTGCACCACCAACAATAGGAAGCCGGAGAGTGCTGCTTTCCAATGCTTCAATAGCCCCAGACAAGGAATTGGAGTGATCCCAGTCAATAAGATCCCAATCATCCAAATAAAGAATCTGCATTCATCAAATACAATTAGATCCAAAATAATGGACAGATGGGTAGAACTAATGAACCCTACTCACAAACAAATGTGCATACCTGTATGTGACCTTGAGAATTTAAAAAATGACAAACAAAAAAAATAAAATGCTTGTCCAAATGATTTAAATGCAATCACCCCTCCGAGAACCACCATGGACCATGGAACAAAATATTCAAGTTACCCACTTCAAAGAGAGAATGACCATAGCATGACTGAGAATGACACAACTCTTGAGTTATTACGAAATATTTGTGGAATGATTTTACTATACCATGTAAGCACAGCTCTATAGACAAAGTCTTATACATCAATCTTACAGATTCTATATTTTTGGTCTCTGCAGATCGATGAAATAGTCCTAACTTATAACTCGAGTTCCCAAGTTGTGTTCTTAAGGAGATTGTGAGTAATGGTGGTGGATTGCATGCCCGCGTGTGTGTGATAACTCTGTTCCGTATTATGCTAATTAATCTTAATTATGATTGTGATTATGTGTTTAATATGATTTTGGGTGCCATTTATATGATTACATGTGGTTTTGGCTTTATATCTGTTCACCGTAGGAAAATTTGTTCAATTTACTGTTATAAACTAAAAATTGAAGGCCTTATCGGCCACAGAAACTGAAATTGACTACGCCATTATGATTGGCGTAATTTTTAGAGCCTATGGTGAAATTTAATTGAAAAATGATTCGGAACCAAATAATTAGATTCAGAATGATTAAATTAAGCTCAATTACTTAACCTAAATCAAATTTGATTAGGCCAACATATATAAGTGGCCTATTTGTATTTATGAGCAATGTTTTGAGCTCATTTCCTCTCCTTTGGCTGGGATCACCCTAGCGAGAGAGAGAGAGGGTCGGTTAGAGAGAGAGAGTGAAGGCAATTGAAGCTTTGATCAAGAAGCTAGGAAATCTTGAAAATTAACTCAAGAATTAACCATAATTTGGAAGATTTGAGCTTCTAGGAATTGGTTATGAATTCATAAGTTTGATGTTGTAATTTTGTGAATTCAAGTTAGATGGTAATCAAGAATATAATTTGAGTTAAAATTGATGAATTTGGAGCTTGTATGCATGTGCATAATTGCCATGATCTTATACATTCAAACATGAATCATGTTGAATAAGAAGAATTGAGCACCAAATCTCACATCATGCATAATTTTCATGAGTTTCATGATTATGAGTGTCATTTGTATCATTTGAAATAGAGATGAAGTCAAGAATTGACATGCATGCATGATAGATAAGGATATGGAATTTGTATGAAGTAAAGTATATGGGTTTTGAAAATTATGAAAAGAATTCAAGATAATTTATGAGGCGGACCATGATTTTGGTCAATTGGTTCCAAATTACTCATGTTCTTGTGTTATATGATATCCTTCCCTGCTTTTGTGTCAAAAACATGAGTTTTGAACCTTTAAACATTGAGTTTGAACTTCAAGAACAATTCTGGATTTGGCCTGTCCGCTCGAACGGGAAAATCGCCGCTCGAGCATGAAATGTTAGTTTCCAGAACTTTTGCAGACATTGATGTCCGCTCGAGCGGAGGGAGTCACGCTCGAGCGTCAGTCACATGTTTCGACTCTTAGCTCGAGCGTCCGAAGTCACGCTCGAGGGCAAAAATAAGGCAACTAGTACTTTTGCAGACAAAAGGGCTCGAGCGGCGAAAGCTGCGCTCGAGCTGGGATCCCTGTTTCAGAAATTTTGAAAAGATTGTTTTGTGTTTCATTTTCCATTCTCTTTCATTTCTCAGCATTCTTAGGCATGCATTGAGCATTGTGAATGGATAAAGAAGAATATATGAATTTAGAACGGATTGAATTGCTTGTGACCCATTACGTCTTATGATATGAGTAGGGTCAAGCACAAGGGCAAATCATCCAGCGGATCACTGTGAGTAATATCTTAGTAAAGATATTTTAAAGTATGTTATTTGTCCAATTACTTACTCCTCTTTGAGTTCATAAGTTTGTTTGAATTGTGGACAAATATTCGTTTGTCATAATTGATTGGGCCAAAGGCCGTCGGACATAAATGGTTGGGCCAAAGGCCGTCAAACATGAATGATTGGGCCAAAGGCCGTCAGACATGAATGAAATGGGCCAGAGGCTATTTGATATGCTCGGGCTTGAAGCCGTAATGGGCCTAAGGCCGTTTGATATATGTATATTTGTTTCGACCTTCATTCATGTATCTTCTTTATTTGATATTATTCACTGGGCTTTTGCTCACTCTCATTCTTATATATGTAGGTGAGCCAAGAGATGTTCAAACCCAACCTCGGTGAAGTATGTGAGAAACAGTCAAAGTTTTGAGAAGTCAGCCCTAATATCTCACGCACAAGACTTGTTTTTGCCCTTTTGTTCTTTTGTTATATCTTTGCTATGTGGGTGAAAACGTTGAATCACCTTTGTATATATGATTTGTTTGGCTGACTGTATGACTGAAAGTTCCTGGATACAGATTAACTCTATGGGTATGTGTGAGTTATTACGAAATATTTGTGGAATGATTTTACTATACCATGTAAGCACAGCTCTATAGACAAAGTCTTTAATCTTGCTTCCGTTTTGGCCCCTTAACTCTATTGAAATATGTCTAAGAATTGTTTGAGGCCGTAGGTAATCCCTTGATTACTGGCCGGTTATGACCTTAATCCATGAGGGCGGGTTCGGGTCATGACAGTGTGTGTACAAGATCAAGTGTAATTTGGGTATGTCTGTGCCTGCTTGTCTAGCAAAACCAGAGCTAAAGAGAAAGAGTTCTTCATATATTCAGCTAAGTGAATTTAAGAGGAAGGGCAGGGCAGGTTCTGTTCTATATTCAATCTAGTAAGAGAAAGAAGATGGTGATCAGCAAAACCAGCATATCAAAAGACATTTCAAAGTTCTATTAAAGGCACAAGGCAACAAAACAGAAGTGGCCAAGATTAAGCTCAAACAAAATGCTAAAAAGACAATGGCCATGGCACTAAAAGAACATGACTTTTAAATTAGGAAAAAGTTGAAAACAAAAGCAAAAAGAAAAAAAAGTAAAATAAAATCAAGACAACAAACCCCATAAGAAACATAACTGCAATGAATTCATGATCTTACTTGTCCCTTGAGGATGGAGTATAGCATCAAGTTTTGCCGCAACAACTGTAACTCTATTCTTTTGGTTTTGATAGAATGCAGCAATTTCGAGGTAGCCACCCAACCATTGTATAGGCTTCTCTGGTACAGAGAAGAACAATTAGAAAGACAATAAAAATATTGTTCCAATACCTCATTACTAGGTTTAAAATAAAAATAAAATAAAAACATATTAGCTACAAAGTTATCTAATTTCTACATTTCCTTTTGATCGGCAAATCTTCTAACGTTTGAAAAATCCGCCTAATTGTGTGTGAAAAATGAAGGGAAGGATATTCCCACTGTTAAATATTGACTGTTTGATACATTACTGCTATCAGGTAGGGGTGGGCACCGGCCCGGTGGTCTGGCCAACCCAGCCTGCATTTTCAAGGGCTTGGCATTGATAATTAAGTCCATAGGGCTGGGCTGGACAGAACTTTTTGACCCGTTAATTAAATGGCTTGGGCTTGGGCTTGGGAATAGTCATTATCCCAGCCCAGACTGGCCAGTATACGTACTTTATATATATTATATATAATATTCTCTTTTATATACAATTTATTTACTTTTATTTTTGTTTGAAGTAAAGAAAATACACTTTAGATGAAAGTACACTCACCAAGCTTTGAACTTAGGATCAAATGAACAAAATTAAATGTTTACAGCAACTTAACTATAGCTTTCTGAAGAATGCAAAAGTTACCACCAGTAACTCAAATCTTTTCTGCTTGGACTAGTATCCAATCTTGCCAATGGTATATCTTTGTTCAGCCATTTAAGTAGCCAAACATGCATAAAATGTCTCAGATGGTCAGGCCCATAACCATTTAATAGAAACATATCGCTCATGCAGCTATTCTCAATCAACTACTTCATCATTCCCAAACACATTAAAGAAAAACGTTTTCCTTTCGTCCCTCATTCTCTTATGCAATAGAATTCAGCACATGGTCCCCCTTGAACAGAAAATTCATTCCTCTTTCTACATCAGGGAAATTATAATATTCATTCCTAAAGCATAAAGAGCCTATGGTTAAGGGAAAAATAAGCAACTATGAAAAATTCAAATACATACATAGGCATAATGTTAAAAAGCTAAACAGTGGTATACACCACCTAATATCTTTTCTCTTCTTCTGCCTTCATCCCTTCTGAACTTTTATCTAACCCCTTTGACTATTTAAGTCATTTACTTTTATTGGATTCCAGATGACATCTCCAAGATAAGACAAAATAGTAGCTGCTGGAAGGGAGCAAACTATATTTTCTATCCTACTTATATGTCGATTTAAAAAGGGTCAAAGCAACCTTCTAATAAATTATTGCACATCCATGGATTATCCGTCGTCATCTGCTCTTTTTTTTCATCATGCCATGAATTTTCCACCCTAGAGATGTCAATGTACCAACTTGTAACCACTAGAAACTGATACTTTCCATCAAACAATTGAAACAAATGTATAGGTGATATTAGTGATCAAAACATAGATGTTATGAGAAGGCAGGAGAAAATTAGATACAAACCAAAACTATTGTATACATCAATGGTAGTGTGGTAATGGTAACAGAAATATAAATGAATGTATGTAAAAAAAACTCATCACTGCATAAACAAACTTACACATGATAAAAATAAAAGATCCATATACAAAGAAAGAAATCAACAAGCTATATACCTCTGCAGTCACTTTCTGGACCATCATTGCATTGTCTGCTCTTGCATTTATAAATCGCCATTGCAAGTGCCTGTTATGTAGCAGCCTCAGCAAGTGTGCATCCCCAACCTTCCCCCTCCTTACATCAGCAGCAAAGCTGAGAATTGAAGGAGTGTTTCCCAAATCGTTATTCACGGTGCTTGCCACACCGCCATTCCTCACTCGAGATGGGCTCATCATCCCCCTCGATGGGGATGACACGGAAGATGTCACAAGCTTGCTTGGCGATGCTGGCCGAACACCACAACGAAGAGGAGAAGATAAACCCCTGCTACCTGAAACTCCTCTAGGCGTTGAAATTGGACTATCCATATAGGATTTCTTCAATGCATTGAGTTTTGGTGGAGTTACCGTTTTCAACCCATTATTATTCTTTGAAATTGGGGAAACTTGCTCTGGCAATCGGCGCTGCAGCCGGTTAGTAGTCTCTTGCCAAAACCTGGCGGGCACCACGATGCCGCGTGGCCCTCTTCCACGCACGGGAGCAGCAGCTCTCACACAACATTCTTGTACAACTCCAGCTCCCGCCCCCGCTCCAGTGCTTCCAGAGGAAACACTTTCAGTGTCGTCCGAAGCAACCAGATCAGAAGTGGCAGCAGATCCAGCATCTGAAATTGCATCAATTACAATCTGAGCAGCTTTATCAAGGTCGGAATTGGCTTTCAATCTGGGGCTAGCAACTGAGGCTTTACTGCTGTCATCGATCATGATGATGGATTGTTGTAGCAATGCCCCCATTTTTTTCTTATCAGCGGGACTACAATCCAAACTCCTTATCGTCATAGAACAATTCAATTCCCGCGATCTCCCAGGCCAGCGATGCTGATGATCTTTAATAATTGGCTTCGAATTTTCCCTCTCCGGCGTCGCTTTCCTGCTCGAACTAGTCAAATTATTCGCCGCCGGCGCTGGCTTCGCCTTGCGCGAATACGAATCTCCTTGAAACGAAACTGACAAACTCCTCTTCGAAGCCACCAACAACTTCGCAGCAGCCGACATCTCCCCGGCATTTCCCGGCCGCCTCCGCTCTGCAGATTGCGACCGTGAAGGAGCAGGAATCGGCGTCATCGGCACAGTTCTCGAAACAAGAGGCGAAGGATAGCGCCTGGAGGAAGACGAATTCGAAGACGACGACGACGACGATGATGAATACGAAGATGATGAAGTGGTACAACTAGAAGACAAGTATCGAGAAGTGACTTCTCTGGATTTGGGTCTCCGAGGAGGAGGGCCAACGACGCCATTGTCAGCCTCAGAAGGTAACAATGGAGGCCTTTTGGGGTTGTTCTGGTGGTGAACCCCACCTTGTGATGAGACCTTATTAGGGTTCGGCGTAGCAGACACAGCAGCCACCATTATAGCACACACTTGTCACAGCTCATAACTATCAAACCCTAATTACAGCCCAAAACCTGTGACTATTCAAGCTAATTCTTAATTTAGAGAGACAAGGGAGGCGTGAGTGTACTGAAGGGATGAAGTGAGAGAATATATATATATACAGAGAGAGAGAGAGAGAGAGAGAGAGAGAAAGAAACTAGAAAGGAAGGGGTTCTAGGAGAGAGAAAATGAGGCGATATATGACCGTTACATGAAGCCGGCGGCGAGAATATAAAGAGGCGTGATGAGCGAGATTTGGGAGCGCAACTGCCGTACTAGTTCTAGTTCGTGTGCTTGAGTTGCTATGCTACTACTATGGAAATACATTTACATATATATATACGTTTGAAAATTTCTATTCTTACGTAAAGTTGGGTTATTATTTGGTGGGTGATTGAGGTCAAGTTTGGCATATCTTGAAAAAAATAAAAAGTTAAAAAATTATTATCTTATTTAAATCATATCATTTTATTTAAGTCATATCACTTCTCTTATACATCACTTCAAATCCAACCTAAACCTAACCCATATTTCATAAAAAGTCAAAAAGTATACTTATTTAGATCATCCCAAACAACCCTGAGAGCTCTATAGTGCTGAATTTTATACATGTGGCATTGAAGGAAAGGAAATAAAATAAAATAAAAAAGTTAAAATATTACATTAATGGGTTATTTCACGTGCTATTTTATGGTAATATAATTAGCAAAAAAATATGAAGTATTAATTATTTATATTAAATGAGTGAGAAACACGAAAGTGTATAATGAATAGTAATTGATAAGGAAGCATAGTTACGTGGTACTCCGGTAATATTAAATAATAATTTCTCCATAAAATTTATATAAAACATGACGAATTACATTAATGGTTCTTGTAATTTAGAATTTGTGTTATTTTAATCTCTAATATTTCAATTCTAATATATTTGACCTTAAATTTTGAATTTCGCTCCAAATAAGGACAATTGAATACACCGTCTTTTTTGTAAACAAAAAATACTCTATTTCAAAGGCAAAATCATGAATTTAATAAATATAAACTAGTTTGACAAAAAATAAATGTCAAAAAATTATTTTTGAATTTAAAAAAAATATTTCTACCCACCAAAGACAAAATTATATAAAAATAATAAATCTTCTATAGTTTTATTTATTTTATTTTTTTTACCAAATTAATTTTTGGTATGTGTTTAGATAATGATCATGTAATGAGTAGTTATTTTTGTTGATATTTTTTTATGGTTATCATGCAATGGTTGGTTATTAGGCTATTAATGTATAATCGATATGTTTAATACAGTATATGAAATGTTTTTAGTTTTTTTTATTTAATAAATTTATTTAATAATGATATCAAACTTGTTGTCATGTTTGACTTTTGAAAAAAATAAAAACTAATTTAATGAAAATAAATATCAAAAAAAATTAATTTTAAAAAATTATTTCTACAATTCCAAAAGATAAAATTATATAAAAATGATGTATTTTTAATTTTTTTTTCACCGATTTAATTTTTAGTTTCTTAGAAAAAAAAATTCTAGAAATATATGCTAAAAACCAAACCAACCACAAACTTTATAACTAAGAATGTGTTAACATCTATATATAAGGAAAATAGTCTTTTTAAGGACCATGATTGTGGAAGTGACAAACTCACAAACTAATTTTGTTAATTTGTTAATTTTTAAAGAAATAAAAAAAAATCTATTGGTTAGTTCCCTAAAGTCAAAATTCCAAAAACAAAAATAGTTCTAACTATCTACAATTTTGAATTTTAAAATTCAAAACAATATGATAAGTCATCCTCACTCTTTCAAAAAATAATGTTGATCAAAACAATATAAATAAATGCACTAATTATTTATGATTTTGAATTTCAAAATTCAAAATAATATGGTAATCTACTTTCATCTCACTCTCACCCTTTCCGAAAATAATATAAATCTAAAATTTAAAAACCCAATCAAATTAAAAATTCAATAAAATCATCTCTTTAAAATACTCAATATTTGATCTTTTTTTCAGCTCGCCCAACTCTCCAAATGTAATGATGCAATGGTTATTCTCTCTCTTTGCCAATAGTCCAAACTTATTTCAAGTTTATTTGTTTGTGAATTTTTTTTTTTTTTTTTGTAAATTTATATTTTTGTGTGAGTATTTTTTTTTTCTCTATTTGACTTTTTTTCCAATGTATTTTTTTTCCAACTAAATTGATAATAATATATAACTATCTTTGTTTTGAGAGTTGATTTGACGTTTTTTTTTTTTTTTTTGGTGGATGTTTTCTTTTGTACTCCCTCCGTCCCAAAATATTAGTCCCTTATTCCATTTTTCATTGTCCCAGAATATTAGTCATTCTTAAAAAATCAAGTACAAAAATAATGTAAAATTCCTATTTTGCCCTTCTTTTAAATTAATAAACAATATAAAAAGTACAATTATGACATTGATATTCTCAAAAAATGTACTATCAAAAGGGTAATTTTGGAAAATC